ATTTTTGGGGCAAATCTTTGGGAATTATTTGGGATTTTTTGGGGGTAAATCTTTGGGAATTATTTGATCATTTTTGGGGTAAATCTTTGGGAATTATTTGGGATTTTTTGGGGCAAATCTTTGGGAATTTTTTGGCCATTTTTGGGGGCAAATCTTTGGGAATTTTGGGGATTTTTGGGGCAAATCTTTGGGAATTTTGGGGATTTTTGGGGGCAAATCTTTGGGAATTTTTTGGCCTTTTTTGGGGCAAATCTTTGGGAATTTTCGGGTGCGGATCTTTGGGAATTCTTCGGGTATTTGGGAATTTCTGGGGCGACTCCTTGGGAAGTTTTGGGAGGAGGAGGAGGAGAAGGGGAGGAAGAAGAGGAGGGAAAGGGGAGGAAGAAGAGAGAGGGAAGAGGAAGAGGAGGAGGAAGAAGAGGAGAGAAGGAGGAGGAAGAAGAGGGAGAGGAGGAGAGAGATGAAGAAGGAGGGAAGGGGAGGAAGAGGAGGAGGAGGAGGAAGAAGAGGGAGAGGAGGAGGAGGGGGAGAAAAGGAGGAGGAGGAAAAGGAGGAAGAAGAGGGAGAGGAGAAGGAGAGGGGGAGGAAGAGGATGAGGGAAAGGGGAGGAAGAAGAGAGAGGGGAGAGGAAGAGGAGGAGGAAGAAGAGGAGAAATAAGGGAGGAAGAAGAGGGAGAGGAGGAAAAGGAGGAGAGGAGGAGGGAAGGGGGAGGAAGAGGAGGAGGAGGAAGAGGAGGAGGAAGAAGAGGAGGAGAAACAAGGGAAGAAGAAGAGGGAGAGGAGGAAAAGGGAGAGAGAAGGAGAGGGAGGAGGAGGAGGAGAGAAGGGGAGGAGAAGGAAAAGGAGGAAGAAGAGGGAGAGGAGGAGGAAGAGGAGGAGGAGGAGGAGAGAAGGGGAGGAAGATGAGGAGGGAAAAGGGAGGAAGAAGAGAGAGGGAAGAGGAAGAGGAGGAGGAAGCAGAGGAGGGAAGGAGGAGGAAGAAGAGGGAGAGGAGGAAAAGGGGGAGAGGGAGAAGGAGGGAAGGGAGAGGAAGAAGAGGAGGAGAAACAAGGGAGGAAGAAGAGGGAGAGGAGGAAAAGGGAGAGAGAAGGAGAGGGAGGAGGAGGAGGGGGAGAAAAGGAGGAGGAGGAAGAGGAGGAAGAAGAGGGAGAGGAGGAGGACGGGGAGGAAGAGGAGGAGGGAAAGGGGAGGAAGAAGAGGAGGGAAAAGGGAGGAAGAAGAGGGGAGGGGAAAGAGGAGGAGGAAGAAGAGGAGGAGAAACAAGGGAGGAAGAAGAGGGAGAGGAGGAGGAGGAGGAGAGGAGGAGGGGGAGGAAGAAAGGAGGAGGAAGGGGAGGAAGGAAGGGGGAGGAAGAAGAGGGAGAGGAGGAAAAGGAGGAGAGAAGAGAGAGGAGGAAGAGGGAGAGGNTGGATGAATCCCCAGACATTGGGAGATCTTTGGTGGAATCCCAAAAAATTGGGAAATCTTTGGTGGAATCCCAAAAAATTGAGAAATCTTTGGTAGATCCGTCAACGTTGGCCAACCATCAACAGGTTCATGAGGAATTGCAAAAAATTGGGAATTCTTTGGTGGAGACACAAAAAATTGGGAAATCCTTGGATGAGTCCCCAGACATTGGGAGATCTTTGGTGGAATCCCAAAAAATTGGGAATTCTTTGGTGGAATCCCAAAAAATTGGGAAATCCTTGGATGAATCTCAAAAAATTGGGAAATCTTTGGTAGATTTGTCAGCATTGACCAAGAATCAACAGGTTCATGAGAATTCCCAAAAATCCTGCTCGGAATGTGGGAAATCGTTCTCGAGTCCGTCGGCGTTGGCCAAGCACCAGCGGGTTCATGAGAATTCCCAAAAAATTGGGAGATCCTCGGATGAATCCCAAAAACTTGGAAAATCCTTGGATGAATCCCCAGACATTGGGAGATCTTTGGTGGAATCCCAAAAAATTGGGAAATCTTTGGTAGATTTGTCAACGTTGGCCAACCATCGACGGATCCATGAGAATTCCCAAAAATCCTGCTCGGAATGTGGGAAATCGTTCTCGAGTCCGTCGGCGTTGGCCAAACATCGGCGGATCCATGAGAATTCCCAAAAAATTGGGAAATCCTTGGATAAATCCCAAAAAATCGGGAAATCCTTGGTGGAGACACAAAAAATTGGGAAATCCTTGGATGAATCCCCAGACATTGGCAGATCTTTGGTGGAATCCCAAAAAATTGGGAATTCTTTGGTGGAATCCCAAAAAATTGGGAATTCTTTGGAAGAATCCCAAAAAATTGAGAATTCTTTGGTGGAGACACAAAAAATTGGGAGATCCTTGGTGGAATCCCAAAAAATTGGGAATTCTTTGGTGGAATCCCAAAAAATTGAGAAATCTTTGGTAGATCCGTCAACGTTGGCCAAGCATCGGCGGATCCGTGAGAATTCCCAAAAAATTGGGAAATCTTCGGTTGATTCGTCGACGTTGGCCAACCATCAACAGGCCCATGAGGAGACCCAAAAAATTGGGAATTCGTTGGTGGAATCCCAAAAAATTGGGAATTCTTTGGTGGAATCCCAAGAAATTGGGAAATTCTTGGATAAATCCCAAAAAATTGGGGAATCTTTGGAAGAATCCCAAAAAATTTGCTCAAAATGCGGGAAAACCTTCGGAGATCCTTCAACGTTGGCCAAACATCAACGGATCCATGAGAATTCCCAAAAAATTGGGAAATCCTTGGAAGAATCCCAAGAAATTGGGAAATTCTTGGATAAATCCCAAGAAATTGGGGAATCTTTGGAAGAATCCCAAAAAATTTGCTCAAAAAGTGGGAAAACCATTGGAGACCGGAATTCCAGGATCGGATCCCAGATTCGGAATTCCGGAGAG